CAACAACGCTACACATAAAAACTGATGATGGTGGAAAAATACACCGAAACGTATTTTGATTGATAAATAGAGGCAATAAATGACTGAAACCCAGGGATGAATTTGATTTCGAATTGAAACACAGTCAGGAAAGTATATACAATGAAATTATAACTGCAAGTTAAGTAGTAATTTGACACTTGTTTTGTTCTAATCAACTTTTGCAAGCTTTTAAAGAAATGGAAACAAATCATATCAACTCTTTTGATTTATTATCCTGACTGCGTGTAATTGTTATTATATTATTTTCTTTCCTGGGCTCCAGTCACAGTGTGGAACAAAAAAATTTGTATATCGTTTATTTCGTTACACGTTTCGGCGAGACAACAGCGCCATCATCAGATTTTAAAATTCATTCAAACTAAACAAACCAATTTTCTTTGCTGCGACCGGAAAGTTTAAAGGAGAAATCGAATTTTTTTCCACACCTACAACTGTACATCGAAGGCCGCGAAAACAAACCCCCTCACCGCTATTACTTTAAATATCGCAGTCAAACCCCTATTCAAAAAACAATGGAAAATGGATCAGTGGCGGGTACTTTTGGCGAAATGAGCATTGTTATAAACCTTGTCCCCATAATACAGATCGTTACGACCGTACCAAGATTTTACTAAATTTCAAAAAAGCGGTATTTCCAGATACCGTATCTGCCGCCCCAACCGAATGGGGCGCCTTCTGGGGGCCAAGGCACCTACAATCCGGCCGGCGTTCAGCAGCAGGGACCGCCCCAGGGATCGATCAACTATCAGGTAAGCTGCAGCTGACCATCACCGTTCGAGCCACTGTTTAACCCAATTTTTCTTTCTCCATAGCAGCATTACTTGCAGGCGGTTCCCCAGCAGCAGCCGCCTCCCCAAATGCCCACCATGTTCTGTATTCCCACCCAGCCCCACATGTTGCCAAATGTGCCTTACATGCAACAGGGGCCCCCGCCTGGAGCCCCCCATCCGCACGTACAAGTGAGTACGGAATTTTTTTAACTTTCTGCCACTTGCAGAATTTTCGATAATTAAATCGGAATTTTAAACCACCCTCAACTTTGGCGGTTGTTTTGGAAAGTAGCAGTTGAAATCGATTACATTCCGGAACGTAGTAGACGGGGGTTTTCTCACTCGCACTCATGGATGCTATCGGGCTAGCAGGATGGCCGGTGCGCTGCTGCGTTCCAACTTGCTACTTTCGCGCAATCGTTGAATTGTAAATTAACGGTTGTTTGTTGGTTTTTTCAGCTTCTGCTACAACATCAGCACCCGTCGCAAGGCGGAAACCCCCACGGCCCCAGCCAATAACGTTTGCGGGACCACTAGCGGCAGAACGGAGTGATATTCGGACAAATCGCGCCCGCCTGTTGCGACTAGGCAATTTTTAGTTTTAGTTGTGCATGGAAAAGCGTGCGTGCGGTCGTAAGCGAAATTCGGATCTTTTTTTTTTTTGTTTAAATTAGTTATAAACTGCTCAACGAAGTCAACAAATTGACGAATTTGGATCTGGATACGTTCGGATTGATGTTTGAAGCGTTATTTAGTGCAGTTTTTCGGTTAAGGTGCTTTTGCCAACAATTACTGCCTCACAAGAAGTTTCTACAGGGTGGCAAATGAGGCGCTTTTTGTACTTCAACACCATAGACCTGGTATATCGCAGGAAGCTTTTGAATTTTTCGCTCATCTCGTTTATATACTCCAATCTAGTAATAAAATCAACTTTTTGCTATTGCGCCGGTATATTTAATTAATTTTCAAATTTCTCTTAATTTTTATTTTTATTAAGGGGGACACCCTGTACAGGGGGTGTCTGAGTGTCCGAAATATTTCAAAGTAAACTTCTTGTCCTTTACAGGTACAGGTACAGTTGACGACTACTAAAAGCGCTTTTTCCTTGTCACAAACTTGTTTTAATTTAGCAATCTTATTAATTTTTTTATCTGCAACTGTCATATAATGACTGATTTGATTTCCTGCTCTCTTAAGCTCGCTTTTTGTGTAAATCTTTCCTCGGTCAATTTAATTATTTCAGTTTTTTAACAGTTTTGAATGTGGCATTTTGACAATAAAAAAAACTAGTCAGTATTATGCCATTTACGCGAAATCATTAATATTTTACTTTTATCTGTCGACAACTGTACTTATACGTTTCGGATGACAAGATGGAAATTGAACAAACTCGATCCCAAAAACCTTTTTTTTTTTGTTCAGCTTGGCGAAATTTGGCATTTTTTATTTGCCACCCCGTAGAAAATTTATCTGAGGTGGTTAATTGTTACCAAAACATTGACTAACGAAAAACGAATGGGACTCAATATCGCCTCAAACTAGTTCAAAACGCCCACTAGCGGCTAAATTATTACCACACATTAACTAATTTGACACTTGTTTTGATTGGATGTCATTCGGCAGTTCAACTACCGATAGGGGCGCTGCCAAACGTCAAATTACGCGTTGTCCAGTGACAGTTGAGACTTGTCCGACTTTTCCATTTGTTGGAGTTGATATGTTTTATGTTATTTTCTTTCCTGGGCTCCAGTCACAGTGTCAAACAAAAAAATTTTGTACATCGTTTATTTCGTTACGTTTCGGCGAGACAAAGGGCCATCATCAGATTTTAAAATTCACTCAAACTACAAACACCGATTTACAGTTAAAATGTGTTGTACAAAAACTGTAATTTATAAAGGGTTAAAATATTAATTAGTTCTTGAGGAAAAAATTACCTCATAATTGGTAAACATTATATTTATTTAGGTCTTGAAACCATCAATTTGTTTGAATTATTTTCTACATTTGTGTAGTACATTTTCGCAAGAAAAGCGTCTTTTTCCTCAAGGACTAATGATTATTTTAACCCTTTATAAATTATGGTTTTTGTACAACATAGTTTAATTGTAAATTGGTTTTTGTATTTTGCATTAATTTTAAAATCTGATGATGGCGCTGTTGTCTCGCCGAAACGTAACGAAATAAACGATATACAATTTTTTTGTTTCACACTGACTGGAGCGCAGAAAAGAAAATAATATAATAACAATTACACGCAGTCAGGAAAATAAATCAAAACAGAGTTGGTATGTTGATATGATTTGTTTCCATTTCTTTAAAAGCTTGCAAAAGTTGATTAGAACAAAACAAGTGTCAAATTACTACTTAACTTGTAGTTATAATTTCATTGTATATACTTTCCTGACTGTATTTCAATTCCAAATCAAATTCATTCCTGTGTTTCAGTCATTTATTGTCTCTATTTATCAATGAAAATACGTTTCGGTGTATTTTTCCACCATCATCAGTTTTTATGTGTAGCGTTGTTGCTGCTTTAAGCCTTGGCATGCATTTT